GTTTTTAATGCATATATCCGCATGCTGGGGAAAGCCTCGAATATCCAAATCTACAAACAATATAATAACAAACATTAGTACTTGTTAAATAATTAATTATAATTTTGAAAACATTATATAGAAATTCTTACCTTAAAGGCCCAAACAAAGCCTGACAAAGTGTATTTCGACCCATCGCCCCGCAAACTTTTGCGGTCATCAAAGGCAGACGACAACTTAGTCCAGGTAGCTTTCCATATATACGAACCTCACGGAAACAGATTCCATGCATTTAGGTCCTCTACCAATAATATTAGCTCCTGAGGAATAGGTTGTCTGGCCTCTCTGCCTAAAAAACCAGCATACAAAAGTAGTAGAAGACATACTCGGACAACATCGACGTCATTCATCCGAGTAAAACCATCTTTCTTATTAAACAATTTCTTCAGGTCGTTGACGTGTAAGTTCGGCTTCTCTATTGACTCATCAGGAAAAACCCTGGATAACCATGATGGGCGGGTGATATGACGAGTGTACTGGCCTACATCATCGTGTCCGAATCGTAGACCAGTGATTAAGCAGAACTCTTTCCGCCCAAAACAAGTATACACCGGTGGAAAATGAAACCATATCTCTTCCTCACCACGTTGTATACTGTCGGGTAGATCGCTAGTCATGGTCTGAAGCCACAAATGGGTTAAATTAGCATCTCCACCCGGATGCTATACTCTCAGCCATGGCCCGAAGCAGGTTTCCTCAAATAATTTTCTTTGTGCAGGTGAAAGCTTCGAAGCAATTGTAGTGGCTAGGCTAACTTTATTCCTTAATGTCAATGAAGCCGAAAAAAATTTCTACAAAAATAATAAACATACCAAGTTAGATATACCAAAAACTACACTATGAAGATATACCAAAAACAATAAACATAAATAGTAGTTTATTCTTGAAACTAAAATTTGCAACACTGTTTTGTCTTTTGGTTGAAATGAAAATCGCAACAAGATAATGAAAATCGCAACACGGAAATGACTATCGCAACGAGAGAATCGCAACGCGAAATGACTATCGCAACGAGAGAATCGCAACGCGAAATGACAATCGCAACGAGAGAATCGCAACGCGAAATGAAAATCACAATGCGATTTTGGTTTCGCGTTGCGATTATCTTGTTGCGATTTTCATTTCGCATTGCGATTCTCTCGTTGCGATAGTCATTTCCGCGTTGCGATTTTCATTCTCGAAACTATTCTTCTTCTGCATTACTTCAACCAAAAGACAAAACAAAGACAAATACTAACTTCACAGGGTTAAATACTAAACAGTTTAGCAGTATTGGCAGCAATCGAATGAATTTAATAAGAAATCTAAGTGAAATGGTTAATCTATTATTGAAATTACCAGTAAACTTATCATCAATTTCAATATGAAAAACCTAAAATAATGCAAAATTTTCAAAATAAAAATAATTAAAAAAACTAACCCTCGGAGGTTGATTTTCCATTTCTGAATGATTGTGAGGGATTTCTGACCGTGAATGGTTGTGAGGGATTTCGCCGGCGATGGGGACGGAAATCTTCGGAGATGGGGACGGATTTCGCCGTAGAGAGTGAGAGATGGAGATGGGACTGAGTGTTGTGATTTTAGGTTTGAGGTTATGTGTTGCGATTACTGTGGACGGTTCAGTTTCCGATATATTAAGAAAAAATTCGTGTTTGAAATTTGAAAAAAAAAAATACGCGTTAATACAAATGGCACTATGTAAATCGCATTGCGATAGTCAGATTCGCATTGCGATTTACGTATTCGCATTGCGATTTTCCTAATTCGCATTGCGATTTACTTAATCGCGTTGCGATTTACGTATTCGCATTGCGAATTATGAAAATCGCAATGCGAATACGTAAATCGCAATGCGAATTAGGAAAATCGCAACGCGAATTTGGGAAATCGCAATGCGATAGTCAGAATCGCGTTAAGAATCTGGAAACTGATTTGCGATACCGGAGATCGCGTTGCGAATTATCGATCGCATTGCGATTTAGTTGGTCATTTTGGCAAATCCAAAAAAAGTTGGTTAAAATCGTATATTATAAGGCATTTTTGGTCACTGAGGTTATTTTCTCAATTAGAAATGGATAGCACCGATTGAAAGGAATTCGATTGAGGTTTAAGAATTAAGCTTGATTATCTCATGCAGATGTAACTTTTAGAGAAATTGAACTTTCTCTCACTTGCATTTCAAAACATTCAACAATTACTAACAAATAGCTTAAGGAAGATGATGATGGAAAGTCTCTCTTTCCTCTCAAATCGGTTTCACCCTAAGATAAAGGAAAACATTGTGCTTTTCAGTTCCCAATTTCTCATCAATTCCCACTAACCTAAATAATTGGGTTAATAGTAATGTATTCTTTCACTTTAGCTATCTTTTCAATTTGGTCCTTAAACTTTCAAATGTTACTTTTTAATTTTCAATTTAATTTCGATCGAACTATCTTCTAATCAAATGAACTTAATTGAATTCGAAACACTTTCAAATGATTAAAATAAACATCTTAAATCTTTAAATAAATAATAATTTGACCCACGGATTTAAAACAAAAACAAAAATTCAGCTGCAACACGGGCCGTGGGCAGGTGTTATAAGGGTCCTATTAATAAAATAATTTACTTTTGCATCAGAAAATGACTTGAAAGTTTTGTGGAATATGGCATAAATTAAAGTGGAGCACTTCTGGTATTATAAATAGGAAGACACAGATACCACAAATCTCCCTCATGAGTGCAACACACCATTTACTTTAATTTTCTATAAGTTTGAGAGCTAATTCCAAGTGTGCATTCACATATCCATTAGATATACAAAACATATATATATATATACACACGTGCAGAATGAGGTGATTATTGAGCGAGTCGATCGTGAGTTAGGCAGTACTCGATTTGTGCTTGTAACAAATTTTGCTGCTCTACTCAACTCGTTGCTCGTTAAACTCGTTAAAATCGTGTTCAACTCGTGTTCGTTAAAAAAATTTGTTGCTCAACTCGACTCGTTGTTTGTTAAGTTCACTAAAAAATTTACCTTATTTTTTTAACTAAAAATAAAATTTACTAATACTATATGAGGATATTATGGTTGGTTTTTTTTGGTATTAAAATAATATTATTAATTAATAATATTTTATTATTTATTAAAAAATAATAGATTAGTTAACTTATAATTTTTTATTATTTATTAATAATTATTATTTAGATTTATTTTTTGAATGAAATAATTTTGAAGTAATTACTAAAAATATTTTTTTTTAAATTAATGAGTGCTCGCAAACTTATCAAGTCGAGTTAGACTTTGCTCGGCTCAGCCCGTTAAAGTCTTGAGTTGAGTTCGAGTTTGAGTCTAGCCAACTCGAGTCGAGCGTTTACTGAGTTTTGATTGAGTCAAGTTCGAGCTGGTCAACTAGTTAAGCACCCCTAATACAGAACCAATAAATGGGTTCTTTAGGAAAGTGTAGATACTCATTTTGTCCGGAGATTTCATTCGAGTTTTTGTTCGTGTTTATATATATATATATATATATATATATTATTAATTAGTTCAAATTTTTGGTTAGTTTTTAATTATTATTAATGTTAGTTATGATTATATATAGTTATATATTTATATGCTATACTATTATGAATTAAATAGGTTAATTATTAATTACTATATTATAGGATATGTTATCAATTAAGTAGGTTAATTAATGTACGTAAATATGCATAGTATGGTCCATATGTAATCTATTTTGTTTTTCCTATAGGTATAGGTATTCATATATTTAAAATATATATTCTAAGATAGTATGTTGTGTTTGTCCATTCTTTTATATATATATATATCCTAATTTTCACCTTAATATATTTATGCATATACCAAACATTATATGATGAGCATTTTCTTTCAATTATTATATGAACTAGTATTATAGGCATTTATTATATGTTACTTTAAAATAATTATAATATATATTGGCTTAACCAAATTCAAATATTATGAATCCTTAACATGTTTATAAATCATATATATAGTAGCATTTGCATGTGCATGTGCTCTTTTGAATGTATTGATCTAGGTGCAATTATTTATTTGAGTATGTGACACTCTTTAATTAATATGTATGATACACTCATGAGCATAATTAGACCCAATTTAAAGAATTGTATTAAGCGTAACGCCCTTTAATTTTAGGGTTGTTGTGAAGTTATTATCTTAACGTATAAGAAAGTTACTTTCGATAATTTTAAGATGAAAATATATCCCATCATGTGAAACCCTAAAATTTGAGAACGAGAGAAAAAGAAATATTCGTCTATTTAAATTCTTCGAGAAAAGATCGTTAAAACTTATAAAAGGTCCGATCTCGACGTTTTAAATAATCGAATATCCTTCTTCTTTTTAAAAGGATTGGTAATTTTATTTAATTTGGTTTTACTTTATTTCATCATTATTCATGCAATTTAAATTAATAATAAATTTTAGAATGAAATAATAATATTCCTTATTTGCTTGGAGTGAGAATTGATTGCTTTAAGATATAAGAGGTTTTTTCTTCTCGATAGTAAATAATTAAATATTGTCTTTTTTTCATCCTAAAGTTCAAATAATATTATTTGAAGGGATCTTAAATTAAATTAAATTTGAACTTGTAAGATTCATTGCAAAGACAACTAATTAATTGATTAGGTACTGATTTAGGGCGTTGTGGGGTGCTAATCCTTCCTCACGCGTAATCGACTTTCGAACTCAATTTTTGGTACGCAAACCTTAAAATGTTGTTTTAATAATTTTTAAATTATATTTTATTAAAATGACAAAACATTTTGGGTGCCCAATCACACCCTAATCAAATATTGGTGGCGACTCCTCGAACCATATTTTTTTTATTTTAAAAGAAAACATCAAATTAATCGAGACGAAATTTTTTAAATCACACTTATTTAAAAATTAAATTTGTTTCTAAAGAAATCGTTTCCACATAAAGTTCAAGCCATATTTTGCTGCAATTTTTCTGCAAGTTGGTCTTGCAGGAATGGATGTCTTATCTAAGGCTGCATGGAACCCAGGCATGAGAAATTACGCGTTGGTCGTCTACCGTCACGCCATCGCCACCCTCGTTATGGCTCCTTTTGCAGTCATCATCGAAAAGTATATAAACATCTCTATTTCTGTATAGTCTTTGATGTAATGTTTGTAATCAGTGTCATGAAGCTGAAATGGAAATTTTAACTTACAGGAAAGTGAGGCCTAAGATGACAATGTCAATCTTCATCAAAATAATGGTGCTCGGCTTGATGGAGTAATTACCCGAATCGAATTACGAGTTTTTTTTTAACATCATATAATAACATTAACACATGTTTGTTTACTTGGACAGGCCAGTTATTGATCAAAACTTGTATTATGTGAGGATGAAGTACACAACGGAAACTTTTGCAGCTGCCTATAACATTCTTCCTGCCATTACCTTCTTAATGGCTTGGATTTTGAGGTAAAATTTTCTGAAATTTACAGAGAAGTTATAATACAGAGATATATTCATTTTGTTTGGTAATATATCTATGCAGGTTTGAGAAGGTAAACTTCAGATCAATCCGAAGCCATGATAAGGTTATCGGCACCCTAGCAACTGTTGCAGGAGCCATGGTGATGACACTGATGAAAGGACCGGTGCTCAAGTTGTTTTGGACCAAATCGAGTATTAACAACCACGAAGCAACATCAAAAAAGGGGACGGATTTCCACCACACGGTCAAGGGTGGTCTGATGATCGCTGCCAGTTGCTTCAGCTACGCTTGTTTCGTTATTCTGCAAGTAAGAAACACAAAAAATTGCAGTAGAAAGTCATTCAGAATATATTTGCTAGAACCATGACATTGACATCAAGCCATGTTTTTATAGGCTGTCACGTTCAAAACATATCCGGCTGAACTTTCCCTCACGGCTTGGATATGCCTGATGGGAACACTCGAAGGAACAGTAGTAGCTTTGGTAATGGAAAAGGGAAATGCTGCAATTTGGGCTCCTAAATGGGACACCAAGTTACTTACAGCTGCATACAGTGTCAGAATTTCATCACCTCTGATTCACTTATTTAATTGAGCCCTCAAATCTAACCATGGCTGCTGCAGGGTATTGTATGTTCAAGACTTGCTTATTACATTCAAGGTGTCGTAATGAACGACAGAGGACCAGTTTTCGTCACGGCGTTCAGTCTCCTATGTATGGTGATTGTAGCAGTAATGTCATCTTTCATTGTGGGTGAGCAAATGTTCCTTGGAAGTGTGATTGGAGCAATTATCATAATCTTGGGACTATATTTTGTGCTATGGGGTAGAAGCAAGGAATACTAGTCCCAACAGCCATTAGTGGAGCAGCAAGTAGAAGCAGGTAAATTAGTTAATGCTACTAACAATGAAGATGCCAGTTTTGATCATCAGGCCATCATAATTGATAAGAGTCTGCAACAAGAGAAAAGGGATTCAATTGTGGTTTGAATTTTTTTCCCATTCTCTTCAAAAGGGATTTGATTTCCAAAAAATGATATCCATAGAGGAAACCATTGATAAAGTAGAAAATAATGGGTAAGTTGTTTTCTGATTCAAGTGTAACAACGATACGACTTTCAAATATAAAATGTTATTGATCAGTTGTCAACCCTAATGGACTTCTTTTTTTTATCCACGGAAACGAGTGTATTAATTTAGATCGGATATTAATATACATAGAGATCTATTATGGGATGATCCTCTCAACTTAATTTACTTTATTCATAACATAAAATTTGAATCTTTGACCTTACTTAACAAACACAAATGTCGTAAAAAATTTATTTAATGTCCATAAATCATGGATGGGCCGACCTATAGGACAATTTTTTCCCATTATAGGCTGAAGTAGTGACACTTCCCATCCGGCTTGGACATTTAGATGAACAGGTGACATTATGAACCGACATCAAGAAAATTTTTGGCTTAAACGAAATTTAAATTCAACACATGAACTTCAAACACTTCAATTGAGACTAATCTATAAATAATTTCAACATGTGTTATAGTTTAAGGACCATTTTGAATTCAATATAAACATTTAGGGATAATATAGATAGATATAGCAACCAAATAAACAAATATTAGAAGTTCATTTTATGAGCAGAGGTAATGATACCTTCACCTATAGGTACTAGCGATTTGGATTTGATAATTATTATATTTTTTAAGATAGTTGAGGTTTATTATAAGATAATATTTGTTTATAATTTTTAAATTATTGACAACGAACACATATCATATAGACGCAACTGCTTAAACCTGAAACCTCTAAGAAGAATAACATAAGTAATATATAATTATCGAATCTTTATTCCCAGTCATTAATTTCTTGATTTACTTGTTTTGACAACTCATATGACCCTCGTAAATAGAATGGACTCTAAGTTAGGTACACAAATAAATAGTATAGCACTGAAGCGTAAAAATCCGTATAGAAACCAAGTGTGAAGTGAGTTGAATTCCATATAGTAGAGCAGTGCAGGAAATTTTATAACATGTCAATTATACCTTTCATCTTTGTATTGTATGTTCAATTTTCACGTGACAAAATCATTTAATCAATACAACAAGTATGAGATACACTTTATAGCCGAAATGACACCCTAGCATATTCATATAATCAAAATGACAGCGTAATATATCTGTATAACGACAATGGCGAAATAACACGCTTTCATCAAGGTTAAAAAAGATCAACAGCTAGATTAGTGAAAACTTTGAGAGAAAAGATAAACGATTGTTGTCTTAACCGTAGTGGTCTAGTCAGGTAGTCAACTTATAAGGTATAAATAAGTCACCTTAGATTAGTAGAAGCCGTGATGGGCGCGGAACCAATCATCTTTTTGAAAATATCAAATTATCATATATTTGTTTTAGTTAGGTTACCATCAGCTTCCGCAAGATTGAGATTCTTGACCATGACATAGCTTGAAACAGTCTTGTAGAGAAACTAAGTTAAAAGGGTTTCAAACACAAGAATAAATAATGAGAGTCAATCTCAAGATCTTCCGCTTACTAAACAGGTGTTCTAACCAACTGAGCAATGAAAGTCATAGAATATATTCAGATTTTAGTTAATTTGTAATTTTTTGGCATGCAAACTAAAGGGAGAAAATTATCGGAAGACGTGCACATATCTTGCAGACACAATTCTCCTTAATCACTAAAGTCACTTGCTAACTGGTTGTGCATATTGCCTTTTAGACTCAAATGCCGTGCACATATCTTGCAGACACAATTTTCCTTAATCATTAAAGTCACTTGCTAACCGGTTGTGCATATTGCCTTTTAGACTCAAATGCTAGATTGGGTTCAAAGGCATGGTGAGGGGAAAAGGTTACTGCACCTTATTATTTGTATTGCTTGGAACTCTATGATTTATTTCATTTGACAGAAAAAAAATTTTAGGAATCATGGGAGCAAGTCTAGATGTGCTCAGGGTATTTTTGAGCTGATAAAATGAGTTGTAAGGGACAGGTTGATGTGTAAGGAGTGTGTTCCTGCGCCGATGGTTTTACTTCAAAGTTGGGATTTAATTTAATTTCTTTGAGTTTTAATTTAATTTCGTTGAGTTTGTATCCCTTGTTTTTTTAATGAAACAAAATAATTTTATTATTCAAAAAATGGCTTGAAATAGGTATTGTTCTCAATTTTAACTTCAATATTTTAAAAAGTTTAAAATTTAATAAAAATATCAATACTGCCTTGAGCTACTAAGATTATGATATTATATCAAAATATATGGATACTCTCAAATAAAAATACAATGTCCTAGTTACATTTAGCATAGAAATATATGCTCTTTTAGCGTACCATATATAATCGAAAATTTTTACCATCATTGAGAGTTGAATTCAAGACCACCTTCTTACTAAACGGGTGCTCTAACCAGCTGAGCTATGAAAGCCACATAATTTGTTCAGATTTTACTCGATTTGTAATAAGATTTGTTTTTTGGCATGCAAACGAAAGGGAGGAAAATCACCGGAAGAGGAGAATCGAGAGCAACAGATGATCATCTTTAACGTTCTATAAGTACAGTGAAAGCCTGCTTTTTCTTTACTAAGGGTTATAGGTACCGTTGCTGAAGCCATGATAATGACTCTTTCATCCTAGCTGAACAAATGTTCCTGTGGATTTTTATCATAATGATACTTTGGGGTAAACGTAAAAGCAAGGATTCTCAGGCATCCATGAAACGTCTGAACAGAAATGGCTGTGTTTTGGCTGTATTTCACCATTTGGTCTTGGCAACCTATGGCTAGAATTGAACAAGTGTCCTGGTTTGGTCATATGATTCATGGCCCGCTGTCGTAAACATTTATGAGATACATTTGATTCAAGACAATGACCATCACACTTAAAGCCAAAACAGGAATACGCCCAAAGCAATCAATATAACACGTTAATTGACAATTTTTTCTTTTAAATAATTTTGAGTGATTATTCAATATCTTTCTTAATTATTAACAATGCACTTACACTGCACAAAACTGAGAAAGAAATAACTCTCCCCAAAAAGGCATATAATGCTAAATTCACCAATAATCAATAATATAGCATTTGCAGTTTCTAAACAGTGCTTGCTTTAATCAAAGCCCTTCTGCAAACCCTTTTTGTTTCCCTCCATTCCAGTTAAGACTTTAAATCATAATCAAAACTCAAACCCCAGGGGCTGCACTGCTTCTACTTCTGAACGTATTTACAGATTCCATTGAGATCATCGCCTTTTCGACAAAAAATTCAGGCATGCCATTCAAGTTTTTTAAGTGTGTACATATTCTATTATGATTCATCCACCAAAAGATGTTCCTCCAAATAGCAGGCCATGCTATATTTTCCATCATGACCATCATCATAAACCGAGCAAGCGTGCCATCTTAAGGATGCCGAAGGCAAGAATGATGTCGGCTTTGTGGCCCATCTTTTGGACATGGAATTTTTGGGTTTTCAGAACCTGGGAGTTGTGTTTATGTAGCTTTGTGCCCTGGGAATTAGTAAAAGTTCTTCGGCTTGGACTTTGGCTACACAAGCTGTTAATTTCGATAATGTTGGTGGGCAGGATCTTGCGGTCGAGATGGGATAGTTGGCTGAATTCACTTGGACAGAGAAGAGCGAATAAACCGGTCTGTGATCCGAGAACCTCAACTCGCCCCTTGAGTACCACATCTGCTTAATTCCTTCGCCTTTCCATAGTATCCTATCGCACCTGCAATAATTTTCTCATAAATCTGAAATCTCAACGTAATAGAAGGACTAAAACTGCAATTAGACCTAAAAATAATGAAAACTGCCAAAACAAGAAGCAGAACCATAGTAATATATACTATTAGAATAATATATATCTAACAACATTAAAAAATCAGCATGATTATTGTTTTCAAAGGATGATGAAGGCAGCTACATGTTCCCTACAAGCAACCTTAATTAATGCACAAGTTGGGATTAATTTAATCTTTGCTTCATGTATTTAATTACTAAAAACTAAGCAAAACAGGTGGTGAAAGGAACAAGAATCTTGAAATCTTACCAGGCAGGAATCCGCCGTTTTTCTTTGGAGTTCGATGTTTGCACGACGTAGTCGTCGGAATCTGTGAGATATTTGTAAGTTGGAGCGAAGTATATCGTGCCTTCTTCCCATCCTTCGAACACCAGACCGGCCCTTTGTTCTAATCTTAACTGCCAAGCAATGAGGGAAAAGTTCACGTTAGATATAACAATAATAAACCGATAAAGAAATACGATGTTAACTATCTATTTTCTTTGTTTACATTAGGTTCTCACCTGATCCTTCTCTAGAAGTGCTTGCCAATTATTCTTCTTCAGTAGTTCGTATGTATCAGCGTAACCGGCAGCAAGCCGATAGTTCAAATCCCCTAACCAAATGATCTTACTGAACAAATACGAAACAGCGGAAACCTTTAGAGGCTTAACAGAAAAGTGTGAAATTTAGATTGTTACGGATTTTAGAATATATCTTACTCATGGTCGACAATGGTATGCGGAGGAAGTGGCTGTTTGCGACCTCTAAGGGTATGAGAGAACCTTGTTCTCTTTAAGATTTCAGCAACATCCGAATTCCTTCGGATCTCGTCGCCTTCTTTCTCTCCGGAAGTCAAGTGGGTACAAACGAAGCAGAACGTTGTTTGGTGCAATGTCATACTAATGGATATTGAACCCTGTTGTAAACAATAAAAGAAGCTAAACTTAATGCAATGGCAATTTAACTGAGATAACTGCTGGATTCCATTCGGTATCGACTAGGGTGTAGAACAAATGGAATTACTGACCTTGTTTCCGAGATATCCCATGATGCCGCGGCCAACGCAAGAGACTTTCAGGTTGCTAATATGCTGGTAAAGATCAGCTCGAACCCACACGCACAAGAAAAGGCCAACCATTTGCTTGCTAGCAGCTAAGCAGAAGCGCCGCTGCTTTGGACTGCTGGACATGCAAGTGGGGCTAGGTGAACCGTCTTCGCTTAAACGAGAATTCAAGTTCATCAATCTTTCGAAATCATCTTTCCTGATTTCATCTTCCATCGAAAGTAAATCGGAACAGCTGATCTTTCGCTTCCCACTTGCTTGCTGTTCAAGCCACAGTGAGGACGGGCTCATAATATTGTAACATTGAGCAAGTTCTAGGTCACTCGGGTTGGTATTCAAAGCTTGACGAATAAGGGAAAGCCACTGTGCAGCAGGGCTGTTGTCCTCGGCTCCAAGCACGTTTCCAGCATTTAGAGGAACGATTTCCTGGAACCTAGCAAGCAGAACAAATCCAGTTTGAACCAATCAATTCTCGAAATATCACAACATCGTAATTAATATCACACCCTCGATGCATAAAAAAGGGCATAACGAATCAATTCGGATTAGTCGATCATGACCTAGAGAAAAGAGAAAGAAATTACCCAAGAACATAGATATCAGCAGGAGCAGGTGACCTTAACCAATCTCTTAAGTTCAAACCATGGTGAGGTGATTTCCCTCCCACATTCCATGTCCCTACAAACATCCTGGAAACTCAGAAAAAAAAACAAAACAAAGACCAAATCAAAACCAAATTATTGACAAAAATTAAGAATTTTCAACTCAAACAATCCTAATTTGAACATGATGAGTATGCGTTGTTAATATACTAAGAAATACTTTAAAAATGTATTAACTTATAATCAAGGTAGACTAATTGTACAATATTCAAACAATAACTTAACCGAGTTTTTATAACCTCACCTGAGATTGACTGAATCGGTGACAGGAAGAGTCTCCGGAGAGACTAACGTCGGCTTAATCCCTCCGGCAGCTTCCATCAACCAGCCTTCTATTAAAAACCAAAAACTCACAGTTAACAAGATAATCATAATGAAGTAAATCCAAGTGTTATTAGAAAGTGGTCCTGTGAAGGTCAAATATAGATCGTCACGTGGCGGGGAAAACTAAAAACCGGTCATCAAATTTCAACTAAACCAAACCGAGGTCCCAACCGAATCATTACCGGTTATTCGATCGTAGCCGTCAAACTGACGGCTGCGGGAAGTTAAAAAAAAAAAAGAAAGAACGAAAAGCTTGCAGATCAGTACGGAAAATTAGAATACTGCCGGTGGCGCATCGTAAAATCTACCTGAGAAATCTTCCGGTACGAACGCGTAGTAATCCTCGTCGGAGCAACTCTTTCTTGTTTCATCAATTTTGCCTGTAAAAAAGAAAACCAGAAACAAAGATTCTTCCTTTGAATCTAAAACGAAATCTGCTAATGAAATTTGATCTGAAAGGAGACATATTCATGGTGGGATTTGTAAATTTTTTACCGTTGATGGCGTAATCGGAGTGAAACTCGTCTACTCCACTCGGTATATTCAGCCATTTTCGGACGATTACTTTAGGCCACGAAAACTGCAACAGCCAGAGCAAAAAAAGAGATTCAGAATTCAAACATTCCGTTCAAAAAAAACAGACGAACGATGAATCGTCCGGTGCATACCTTGGAGACTTTTCCCATATCTGTTTCTCGTTGCTTAACTGCCGAGCAATGGAAATTTAAAATCAGGATCGAAAACAAGTTGACTGATATTATAATGGCGGGGGAAAATTATATATATTATTCTGAATTAAATAAAGTCTTGAATGAAAAAAAAAACAAAACAAAACCGGGAGGCAACTCAGAGTATCAATAACAGATGAAAAGAAAAAGATTTGGGCGATTAAGTTATGAATATTCTGAGGGAGAACTTGATGATTTAACTAAGTGAACAAATTCAACGGGAATATAAAAGAAACTAGTTGCAGGAGAAATGGAGACAGCAAAATGGAGAAGAAAAATAGTTTTTAAAAAAGGAAAAGAAAACTGAACTCCCAATATAATATTTTTAAAAAGTTTTGGGTTTTAAGCCTTTTTTAAGCTTCTTCACAGAGAAGAAGACATGGTGGAAAAATGGGTAAAAGTTTTTAAATCATTGAGAAAAAATTAAAAATCTCTGGTAATACATCTTGGAAAAGTCTGGCCTTATAATTTGGTACTTCCATGTACTTGATTAAAGAGATGAAAAGGGAAGAAAGGGGAAAGCATTTGAAAGATTGAAAAGTCTGGCCTCATAATTTGGGAATGATGAACACAAATGGAAAGTGAAAGGCGTTTGGGAAATGAGAAATCTTAGTGTTTGTTTTCAAGGAAAACTGAAGATAATGGAAAATGAACTATGAAAGTAACAAAGCGATAGTCCGATGAGGTGAGGTCGTAATCTGAAAGTGAAGCTAAATGACACAGACACACGCAGTTCCCGCTAAGCTGCCGGCCAATGGAACAGAGCCATCTTTTATAATACAAATTTGTGGTATTTAAATTCAAGAGTAGTCAATGCCATTGTTAATAATTCTCAATCATGAAGAAGACGATAAAAATCGATAAACGTGTAACGAAGAAGAACATGGAAAACTAAGACTTCCCAACTAAAGTAATAATTGCAAATAAAAACAAAAACCCAATATATTACCAAAAAAAATCAATCACAGATTAAAGGTAAAAGAAACAGTGAAGTCCACAAATGGTGATTCTCAGATTATGAAGTTTAGAGAATGAAAAAAAGTTGAAAAAGGTTTACCCTTTTTATTGATATTTCCTTTTACGAGTGTGGAATCTTACTTTGTTTTGTCTTCAACAGTAAAAAGCGAGCAAAAATTTGCTGAAAAATGGTGATGGTGGCGTACCTCGTAAAAGCCAAAAGGCAGCGCTGTTGCCTTTGAAATATATAAGTGTGCTTGAGGAAGAAGGAGAAGAAGCTTTAAATATAGTTAATTGTTTCTGATTTGAGGTTAATGCACTACTAAAAAGGAGATTTAGATTTTTATTTCGAAAAATTACATATTTGGTATTTTATTTATTTTAGTCTTTTTATTTTGATTATTTAATTATTTAAAAAATTATATTTAATATTTTATTTTATTTTTATTTGATATCGTTAATTCAACAAAATGATAATTGATATGACATAATAACAGTTTTAGTTTCAAAACTTACACATTCTATCAAATTGATCTTAATTTTATATAATTCAATAAATCCTCAATATTAAATATTATTAAATTATTAATACAATTTTAAAATATTCAAATTAAAATAAGGAAGAAAATGGATATGATTTTTAAATGTTAAAAATTTATTGAATTATTTTGAATTCAAACCAATTTAATAGAAGTTGTAAGTTTTAGGGACTAAAATTATTATTATACTCTTCCAAATAACCATCTTCGTATAGTCAATGGTAAAAGCTAACGGTGAGTAATAAAATTAAAACAAAATATAACGTTAAGTACATAGACTGAGCTAGGATCAAATATTGAGGGGGCAAGTTTATTTTATATCAAAAGAACAAGAATATGTTAAGTATTCAAATTTTAAAAACTGAGAAGAACAAAAATCTAATTAAAAAGAACCTAAATACTATTATACCCAAAAAATTTGGGAGGGGTAAGTAGTTTCGTCACTGGTTAAGTATGATTTTATAAAAAAAAAAACTGTTAGATGACCAGAATAAAAAGGTAAAAATGAGGTACCAAGTAGGTAGTTTACCCTTTTTATTTCAATTTAGAAATATATATATATATATATATATATATATCATACAATTCGAAATGCGACTATAAAAGGTAGCTGACTTGTTTTAATTAGGGTTAATCTAAACTAAATCATATTTAAACTTTATGATTGAATGTGATCAGGGATTCTGTGCTGCCATTGATTGGCAGCTTTGTGCAATTATTATGATTGACCCTTTCTTTACTTTTTAATTGTTTTGAGTTTTTTTAGGTAAATGACACTTGTAGTCACTAAGCTATTCCCTACATATCCTTTTAGTTTCTGAATTTTTAAACATTATATAATAGTTATTGATTTTATCAAACTGTTGCAAAATAGTATATCACTTAGAGATAATGTGGCACGTTAATTCAATAGATAACATTTTATGAGCCCCTTAATTATAATTTTAATGTTAATTTGATATTCTTTAATATTTTAAATAATAAATTTTAAAAATGGAAAGAAATTATAATTTTTAAATATATATATATAAATTCATTACTTATTTTTAAATTTATAAACATAATTTTGGAATTATTATTTAAAAATATTTGAAAAGGTATAAAAAATAAAATATTAATTATAATGGAAAGATCAAATGAGATATTATTCATTAAGTTAACTATTATATTAGCTATAGAAAATATTATATAATTGTTTTATAGTAACTTAATAAAGATATATTCTACCATTTTCTTTTCTTGATTAGCTGCCATTCTAATTTAATTAAGTGTTTTTCAAAAGGAAAACTAAATCAATTGGGCGATGTTTAGATAATGGTAATTAAAATTAGGAGCGAAACATCATCTTTCTTTTATAATCATTAATATTTAATTTATTTATCGATTAATTTAAATTAAATATTATAAAGATAAAGACAAACCTTTTAATATAATATAATATAATTTACTATATTTATAAATATTAAGATTCGAAACCTTAATTAAAATACATAGTGGCTTTGTACTTATTGTTGGTTGCTAAATATAAGATCAGCAACAGTGATGAAAAGCAGATATGTTTTTGTACTTGACAGCGGTTTTTAGTTTCTTTTGGGATATACCAATCATTGGTTGTGCTTTAATCTTAGAGTAGCTTCGAAAGGTCTAATCTTCTCCTAAAGATCTGCCATTTGATTTGAATGTTTGTAAGTATATTTAGTCAAATCAGATGTCAGAAACCCTGTTAATTATTTAATTTAATATATGAATATATTTTTGTGGTAACGATATTTAAACTTAAAACGATTATTTTTGAAATTTCGGCATTTATAAAAAAATATTTTGGAGGCACCATCAATTTTTTAAATTAAATAGGTTAAATATTCAAAAATAGCCTTTTGAAATTTTTTTTAATCAAACATCCTTTTGAAAGATAAAATCAATATACATAAAGAAACTTATTTTTTTATAATTATTTAAGTTAATATATGAATATATTTTTAATATTTAATTATTTATATAATTAAAATTAATAAAACTATTTTAAATAATAAATAATGATTTGAATTAAATCGAATTAATCTCTTTATTTAAGTTTTTTTTGAGCCAAATCATAACAAGTTGTTCGAATTTTAAACATATTTTAGTTTATATGGGAAAATAGTGTGAGTCCAACCGACATTGTTTAATGCCCTATATTTTTGGTTCAAATCTTTTAAAAACTCTTTTAACTATTTTTAAAATAATATTAAATTTATGTTCGATATTTTATATAAAAATTTTATTTTTTAAGAAAAAATAGTGTTAATTGACACTTTCATAAACAGGTTACAATTACTTTGACTCAAATTTAATTTGAATTTTTATGATTCAAATTTAATTTAATTTTATTTTCAAGTTGAATTGTTCAAGTTTCTATATAAATTTAATTATAATTATTATAGTATTAAGGTATAAATTGGTTCTAATTTTTTGACTTTCTCTAATTATATAAGATATTTTTATATTATAATATTATTTAATACATCAAATACAATCTAAAATTGTAAAATATATTTCAAAAAATGTATTTTAAGGATAAAGTATTTTTGGAGAGTATAAAAGAGTCAAAGAACTGATGAAAAAAAATAAAAAAATTGCAATCAAAATATTAAACTAAGTAAAATATAAAGGTAAGGCAATAAATTTAAAAAGAGAGTATAATTTTAGTAAAAGAAATAGGAATTGAAGTTACATAGGTAGGTCTTCTATAGTAGTATAATAACATGTGGTTCAAATTTAGTCAAATCAGACTTAAAATAAATAATGAATTGAAAAAAATTATGTAAAATAAAAGGACTATATTGAAAAATATAAAATTTATTAAAAACTTAGAATTGAAAGTACACATATATTCTACTATAATTATAAGTATTTTGTTCAAATTTAGTCAAAATTAAACTTAAGAGGAAGGATGAATAGAATAAACAAGGAAATCAATGGAAAAATAGTAAAACTATCAAAATATTCATTCAATTTTTTATTTTTCAAGTGACTTGTTTTAAATCTCAATTCAATTCAAATTTAAAAATCAACTCAAAAATAAATAATTTAATTTAAATAAATTAAAATTTTAAAAAGATAAAAAATTTAAATCAAATCAAATTTTATTCAATCATACATATATCAAATTAATAATACAAACTTCTTTAAAATCTTGAACTAAACTTTTATGTAAAAAAAATTGTTTTCAAAGATGTTAATCATATTTAAAAATAATAAATTTGGCTCATGCTTATAGAGCCTAGACTGGTTTTCAAGCCGCCATGTGGAGTAGTACACTAGCTATCTGAAACTAAAGTCTTTGATCTTCCAACTTCAATTGTCAAATCAACAATAAATTTTTAAAATATAAAAATATAATATGAAGAAAAATAACTATTTATTTTTTATGGAAAAATCCATTTAAATCTTTGAAAGGGTAAGAGAACAACAAAATTAGTTACAAGGATTCCGGGCATGTTGGCAAAATAGTAAAATATTGGTGGCGTCAAAATAATTTGGCAAAATAAAATATAATAAAATTATTCTGAGATTTATGACATTTATTACAGTATTTTGAAACTCGTCACATAGACATGACGGATTTTAAAAAATATTTTTTATTAAAATTTATCACGAAGACATGACAAATTTTTTAAAAAAGTATTCTTTATTAAAATTCGTTATGCTCACGTTACGAGTCTCATCATGCTTATATGACAAATGTCAAAATATTATAATAAACGTCATAGATTTCAAAATAACTTTTCTTCACCGGTATATTTTAAAGTTTTTTGACGCCGGAATTATTGCATTAATTTTGACGGGCATGTTCTCATAAAACAAAAAAATAAAGTGTAAATTATATAATTAATTATCAATTTATTATCTGTTTTTATTTTGAATATTAACTTATTTTTTTAATAAAAGCATTATTAATATTTTTTTTATTTTAATCACTAATCATTAAAAATATAATGATGTCGTTAATATAATATTTAAAAAAAATAAAATTTTAATATCGTTTTTTTTCTATGTTGCCAATGAATTGGTTAAATAAAATTATAAAAATATGTTACGTAAGTGTAAGTTTGTTTCGTGATTGTTTATGATTTACTTATTCTAATTTGAGTGAAGAGTCATGATTGATGATGTAACAACCATTTACCGATATTTTTCGGTTATAAGTAGAAAGTTAAGAGTTAAAAAAAGGAGAGATGATCTCATTTTTAATCGTGGCTGAGGGATATATATAATAACCTTAGTTAGTGTTGTCAGACATAAGGTAACTACGATTATTGGTAGGTCAACAAACTAAATAAAATTATAAATTTGGTTACCAAATCTTTTATTTCACTCTGACATGTCAATTTGACCCGTAAGATGTTTTGTCTATGCATTGTAGCTAATTCAAAGGTTGTGATACTCCTTTGTATGGAGGATATAGATTTCTTGAAAGCTCTGGTAAGCGTAGGAGTCTATTTAGAGGTCTCAATTGGAGAAGATCTATAGTTGTTGGAGGTCACCTTTAGAGATATAACAAGTTGTCATCCTCAGTCGAGGGAATGTTATAAAGTGACTTGAATCGAGACGTGCGCTCGAAGATGTCCACCACATTTATGAGGTTATTTTTTGAAACCACATAATTGATTGCCTTTCCATGATGCCCTCAGTTAGATGTA